TTACTAAGGGACTTCCCAATTTACATATATATATATAAATATTTAACATAACATGGCAACAGTTTCGATTATTTATTCATCAAATAGATAATTTTTTTTTCAATTACCATTCTTCAACGAAAAGAAACGTTGGTTTGTTTACATGGCTCTAATTATTTTTCAACCATTATTTCAATTCACCTGTTTTTATATAAATGATTTTTAATTGGCAATATTGGTGATTCATTATTATCTCAAGCTCAAGAAAGATTACTTATTAACAGAAAATGCATTCAAATTCATTGAGTAATCAAATCGAATGGAAACCTATCGGAAAATTGTTCATGATTACGCGAACATGCGAAATAGTCCAGTAGATAGGTAGGTAACTCATAGTTTATTTTTTGTTTATTCAATCAACCATTTTTTTCTTGAATCACAAAACTTCTTCTTATGATAATCAACGAGAACTTTTCTGCAATACTTACACATTTTAATATTGCTTATTAGTGAAAATAAACTCTTTATTATAATGATAATATAATCATGAACTTTACACTTCGTTCACGTTACTTTGTGTTAGTTAGTATAATATTGTTTATTTTAATCATGCTATGAGAAACTCGAGAAAGCACCTTGATATGTTTTTACAATTGAATGGAATAATAATAATTTTAAGGAATTGAATAAAAATGATTTTTTCAAATAACATTTATAATTGATAAGTAATAATTGACTCTAGATCTATAGTCTGTAAATTTGGAATCATCAGGAATTGATGGTATAGTTAAACAAATGAAATAGGAAATTCATGATGTTCAAAAGAGGTAGACAGCGGATCCCAGCATAGGTTAAACATTTATTGAATTATATATAATAGTTTTCACTTATTGTGCGAAACACTTCAAGTTATTCGTATGATAATATATAGGCTTATGTAAGGACTACTTAGCCCATTGTAAATAGTTATCTACTGGATATATTCTCTTTTTCACATGTTCACAAACAATGCACCCACACTGAGCACGGGAAAACAGCACGCATAATCGAATCAGACACCCAGGGGGACGCAGCCACGCAGTCAAATGGCCAAACATGGACAAACCAAGGACCTTTTGACCATACAGCATGATTCGATGGTAGCTGCTGGGTAGCCCGGGAACGAAGAAGAAGAGAGTAGGAATGCAACAAGTTGTCACAAGTTGTGGATAGCTACCTACTAGGATTTCGACGATGGGAGACCACGGAAGTCGTCCCACGAGATGCCTCATCAGCCTCTGACTAAGTCGTCTTACAGTTATCACAGCAACTGCCAAGATAGCTGGCAATTCCACTCAATCAGCTGCGAACTTTTCTCGAGAAACAGTCCAATACTAGAAGCCAGGAAAACTTACAGCCCAAAGGATTCCTACTTCAGAGTATCAGCCCAGAACGAGAGATGCCCAATAATCTTTGAAGCCCAAAAAGATTCCACCCTTATGCCCAGAACGAGGATACCTTTCGAGCCCAAAAAGGATCCCGCCAAAATTCCCATGACGATTGAAGGATGCCTTGACCATCAGTCGTCAGTCGCTACCCCAAGAAGCCAGCAGTTTCCTTCGTTTATCTGCCAACTACCTCGAAGGAGTCTAGGAAATCTTAAATCCCAACAGATTTCATCGCAATGCTCAGGACAAGGAAAACTTCGAGCCCAAAAGGTTCCTGCCGAACTTTCCATGACGATTTTGGGATGCCATTGCCCAATCGGCATTCCCTACCCCGAGCTGCCAGGAGTCCCACCGAGAAGAGTCTGATTGAAATGCTTTAGTTGAATAGCGCCAAACTAAGTGAAGGTGTGAGTGTGCATTGTAGACACTAAACTCTTGAGTGTGTGAACTGAATTTCGGAGATGTATTGATTTTTGTCATTTATGTATTTAAGATATATGTTCTTCTCGATAGCTATAGGTAGGTAGTGATTTTAAAACTGGGGTCTAGTTTTCTCGGAGAGAGGGGTCATGTATAACATAAAATCAAATAAATAAACTATGAAAACTGACCAAGGAACTCTTATGGGAAACGTGCGTTTCTAATAAAATGATGTATATAAATATTAGATGTGAGGGTTCCGAAGTTAGTCTGGTCTGGGGCTACTCTTGACTTGACAAGAGCTCGTCGTTATGGTCTCTATATTGTAAGTTGTTATTAGGTCTTCATATTCATTGTTGATTATTCATATTTGTCATTGCTACCCATGTTTCATGCTTCATTAAATATTGTTATGTTGGAATGTAGTCTCGTACTTTCAGCTACCCCTGAACTATTAGTGCCTATATATAATATTACCTCTCTCAAAATATTAAGCCAAGCATTACCACTTATGAATCGATATGGATGGACTAACATCTCTATTATATCGTGACAGTATTTTTATATCAGATTTGCCAGCAGATTTCAAAATAATTAATTTCCATTGTAATATTGCCACAATCTCTTGAGATATTGAAATATTGTTATATTTTTCAACGAAACGTTGAATTACCATATCAACAAAACTTAGGGGAATTAAATTTTGATATTATGGGAGTATAATGATTTGAACACGAAAAATCGAATGCGTTAAAAATGAACATAGCATTACATTTGAAAAAATGAAGTTGGGGGCTTTATAGAGAAAAATGTGAAATTGGCAACGTTGCAAATATTATTTTCAGATCCTGCACTACTGATAACCCTCGTATACCAAATTTCATAACTTTATGTTTATGTTCCGGTTCTTTTGGGAAACCCTGTATATTTTTGTGAGAGCTGAATAAAATAAATCAAAAATATTATATATTCATTAAAAGTTTGACAATTACCAAAAGTTCACGAAACAAAATAGGCTGGTAACCATATGGTGCGAAAGAAAAACAAGAATGCTTCATAAAATATTGCATACCGAGGGTCAAGCCGCAGTACCTCGTAAGTGACAAAATGCTAATTTTACAGGAGCGACAAAAAACTATCTAATTAATTGAGACAGAGTATAATCATTCTACTTTTTCATTGATATTTCTTGGGAATATTCTTTCAACATATGTGTCGATGAAAAAAGCACAATCAAAATTCACAAAAAAATTGAGTTTTTTACGAGGTACTGTCTATTTTTCGCGTGTGTTTACGAGGTACTGCTTTCTCGTATTGGTAGTTGGAAATGAAAATATGGGATGAAAAATAATCTCTAATTTAATTCAGTCAGTTCATTTGAACAATACAGCCATGTGAATTATCAAAAATAACGTTTTCGAAACATAAAATTCACTCTGAGGTGAAAAAAAAAATAATCAAACAAAAATATAAATCTATTCCTTATGTGGTAACTGATCATAGTAACTCCAGCAATCTTGGGGTAGTACTGATTTGATCGTTTGCAAATACCCATATTTTATCTTCGAGATAGGTAATCTACCTCCATATAGTGGAGGAAAATCCACATCAGCGAGTCTGATTTATTTGGGTCTCGTTGCCAAATCTTGATAATCATCATCGAAGTTGAGCTTATACATTATTTTACCCTCATAATACTTCAAAACACGGATATCTGTCACTGTTGGTCCATTTTCACATTTTGTAGGCCTGATAAAATCATATTTCAATACCGATTCATCACCAAAATTTCTGAAGAATGTATGATCCATGCATTTCACTTCGTATTTTTTTCAGTTTTCTCGCTTCCTTTGTAATGCGCAGATAATCGCTTGGGAGATATATTTCTCGATTTCTTAATGCTGTCTCGATTGTACTGTGGACTGAGTCGCATTCCATTTGTGTGTGTCCCTTTTCCAAATACTTCTGGATGATGCAAATTCTGTATTTCTCCGACAGGTACAGCAGTGCATTTGCTAAGATGCTGTTTCTATTCTGGGCAGTGCAGCCATCTGAGAAAATAATAATGTTTTTTTTTCTTGTCCAGGTAATGTTCTTCCAGATAGTCTACCAAGAAAGATGCATACGTAGCAGCCTGGCCATCTGCGTTCGTTTCATCATACCAATAACAAGTGCACTGATTAGTAGCTAAATTATAAAGGGTGAAATTATGGCAACATGATTTTGTCTTATAATAAAGAGCACTAGCTGGCAGTTGTGGTGATAGCTTGACGGATCGGACATCCATTGTTATTACGTGACACTTACCATCTAGTGTATCTTTTTAATCTCTTTCCTTCTGATTTCTAGCCGCGTCTTTTCTATTCAAGTGAACTCTATAGATATCTTCAGTCAAGTTTCCATTTTTGAATTTGAAACAGGTATCACACTGATCTTTTCGTGGTCTGAAGATAGAGATTTTCAACTCTTCCATCTTTCTTGTTAAACATGTGATAGATAAAGGCACCTTGTGATTTTCTTCACATACTTTCTGGTAAGTTCTGTAAAGATCAGCAGAGGATTGAAACACCTGCTCTAAATACTGTCTGTCAGTGTCTTTTCTACAATAATGAGATGGAAGCTTATTCAGATTATCGAGAAAGTCACTTAAAAATTCCCTATCTTCGGAAAATAAATCTCTTTTACTTTTTCTTTTCCTCATACTGATTTCATGACTTTGATTCATTCCATGTTTCCCTTGCATAGCCCATTCTCTGGCTGACCATTCTCCCAAGGCTAATGTATTGAGATACATTTTCTTGCACACAGGAATTTTCTCTTTCTTGACTACCAAAGAATATTTCAAAGTGCAATTACGTCGAGATGGATTATCTTCATTTTTAGGTCTCTGTTTTTCATTAATTGTTATAGTATTACACACGTAGATTTTTCTTTGATCCCAATCCATTCTGGACCAGAAATGTTCGAGTATGTCTTTTCTATCTTCATCACATAAATTAAAACACTTCCTAGTTGGATCTTTGGCCTTCTTCTCACAATTGCACCTTTCTTTGATTTTTCTCTCTTGTCTTTTCGTGTCGTGGAAGGAATTTTTCTGACCACGTGGCTTCCTGAATCCTAAATACTGTTGTCCTAACATTCTTGATTCCTTGCTATTTTTCCTTTTATTAACACCTTTAGTTCTCTTTTCCTTCACAACTTCTTGTGGTACGATTGTTTCTCCTTCAATTTCATCCTCAAGTGTATCATTGGAAAACCCTATATTCTCGGTGCTGGACTCAGATTCAGAATTTTCTGATTCGGAAGAATAATTACTAACAGATTCTCCATTATTTGTATTCCTTCCTAATGTATTATCCCCGGTATCAGACATAGAAGTTTGATCAAGTCTTGTCTTTTTACTGGATCCAGCAATTGGTTCTTCAATAATATTCTCAACATTTTTATCAGAACTATGTTTCAAATCAAAAATAACAGTTGCGTTGTTGATCATATCAACAATTTGTTCAGGACTAAGTGCGTCTACATCAGGACTCAATGCATGGATCAAAGGATTATCGTAAACATTTCCATTCGATAAGGAGTCATCAAGATTGCATCCTTGTGCAGCTTCCAATATTTTTTTTTGTTCGTTTAGATGCCATTTCGAAGATGATAATATCATTTACTCTGGACAGGAATACGTAACTTGCGCTGGTAGGATGATAATTCCAATCCGCAGGACCTCGTATCTCACAACTGAAAACAAGAAATCGTATAATTATTCAGGAAAATTCGTTCCATACAGGAACATTATTTCAACGATATTATAACAATTGCTCTAACTGATGAAGACAAGAATAAAGCATTGAGACATCTTCTTACCTTTAAAAACAGGAATTATGTTCGGCAGCAGCACACTACACGTTACGGCGCCATTGACGAATAGCGAGTTACGAGTTACTGCTTCAGAATCTCGAGCGACAAAACATACGAGGTAATGTTTTTTGATATTTCTGCAGAAACCACGTGATAAACTGCCGCCTTAATCTCCCAATAGATGGAGATAGATGATCTGAAGCATTCTCAGTAAATAACGTGATTTTCATAAAAATGTCAGTTACGAGGTACTGCGGTTTGACCCTCGATACATGAACCCAAATATAAATTTTATTCATTTTATTGAACAAAACAACAAAACAATGAAAAACAAATTCGTACTTTGCAGTCTAAAAAACAATCTATCAACTACATAAACAAAAATATAAGACATGAGTGAATAAAAAAAGGAATAACTTTTTCGTTATATCATAAAGACATCACAATTTTTGAATGCAAAACATTATTTGTGGATAATGTCACTACATTCTAGGCAGAAGCCTGAAGCACTTGGGCATGTAGAACATTCATAAATAGTTTGAGTACGCTTTCCCTCCTTAGCACAAGATTGGCATCTTTTTCTGGATATCTGCAGGAATAGTTTCAGTGATTGGTGGTAATAAACTTTCAATTACATTTATTCTGAATTCATTCAATGTCATTTCTGATCCAGAATATTTATTGAATAAGTGATTTATCGCGCATTTAGCAGCATAATTTTTATAAAATGCAGAATAATTTTTTGGGCCAGCGGATTGTGTTCCTTTCCGCTGGATAGTAGGATGACAATTGATCTTATCGATCGATCCCTGAAATGTACTTGTGGTTCTCAACTATAGGCAGTGGTTCGTTCACATTTTTTTTCCTCCTTGTTTCTATTCCGATCATATCATTTTTGAACTCCGTGGATATGTAGCTCACATCCCTCTAATCGCGCCATTTTCCATTCATAATCCCTCCTTCATATCTGGATATCGTATAGTGAGTTTCACGTTTTCGACGTCGATGGGTACGTTTTTTCTGTTCTTACTGTTCCAGTGCAATGAGTGCCCTGATTCAAGAGTTTCTTCGCTAAATCAAAACAGTTATAATAGTTGTCCATATAGAGATGATGGCCAACGTTTAGTTTGTTTTCCATCAGGAGCATGCTATCGGCCTCCTACTTCATCAAGCATACCAGTATATACAGCAATCTCGTGTACGAGACCTGTTGGAGTCGTCATCATATAAATAAAGTTTCATGCCATATTCATGTTTTTTATTCTTGATATATCGACGGAATGACAAACGGCCTCTCCACAGTACCAACGACTCGTACAAGGAAAGTTGTTGACAAGGTTAATAAATATCAGCCATTCTTTCATGGAAAAAATTAATGACAGGTCTGATTTTATACAACCTGTCCTCTGGTGTCTGTTCTCCAGGTCTCAGATTTCTAGAAAAATTCAATGAACGCAATATTATAAGTAACCGATTGCGACTCATACTGTCTGCTATTGATTTGCAGTGAAAAAGGAGATCCTTCTTCCAGTAATTTTGGAAACGTTTTTGTTTCACATCTTCCATGTGGAGGAAAATTTCCGAGAAAAATAATAACTCATTCAAAGTAAGATTTTTTCAGTCACATATACGTGATTTTTCTTTGGTAGCACGGACAAAAAAATGTCTTCTGCATTTGTCAAAAGGAGAAAAACAATAACTCTGAGTCGGTCGACCACAAACTTTAATAAAAACCCCTCAATGTGTATCTAGTTTCGGCCACACGGCCATCTTCAGACACAAAAATTATAATGAAGTACCCGAAAAATTCGAACAGTTCTTAATCTAAATAATATGGCAGCTGGGAAAGAACATACCTCTATGGAGAAAACATCTCAAAAATTTAAATAAAAGCACTGGTCAAGTTATAGTAACAATCAATCCGGTAAAACTAAGTATCTTTGTAGCGGCTAGAAAGCCAAAAGAACTTCACAATCAGTAAGTTCGGCATCAAGGAGAAAAAACGTTTTTTAAAAATCTACTCAAAGGAGCTTCATCTGCTTCGAAGGCAAGCCATCAAAAGAAAGAAATTATATAGTGGAGCAAAGATGGGAATGTGAAATTTGACATTTGACATAGAATTATTGACAATTCAAAGAATGAAATTGGGAGAAAACAATATCAATTTAACATTAATATCGAAAAACAACCAACAACATTACAGAGAAAGCGTAATTCAAAAACCTAAATTATATGATGCAATAAAATTATTAATATTAGAAATTGATGATAGAGAGATGAGTGAGAGGGCCCTGACTATACAATAACAGAAGGCAGAAGAATTGTTAATGGTAAACAGAGAAGAAGCCGAAAACAAGTCTGTCAAGCAAGTGGAGACAGAGTCGGCTCCAGCGTAAGGAAACTGTAATTAACAAATTTACAAAAATTATGAAAAATGTAAAGTGCGAAAAATGGTATTCCGATTAAAGTTAGTCTGGTCATTTAAACAAATGCTATCCGGATTATTAATACATTTTTGTATCTCCAAAATCTCCAGAAGGTTTAACCGAGGACCTTTATTGCAAACATGAATGATATCCATATTGGAATTAACATTAAAACTGTGGTTTGAATCAATTATGTGATTGACAAAGGAAGATGTACTAGATTTTCCAGAATTGAGAAATTTATGAATAAATCTGCTGTGTTCAGAGACACGAGTCTCAAAACTTCTACCTGTCTGACCAATGTATGATGAGTTACAATCATTGCAATTGAGTCTGTACACCCCAGATTTCTTGACAAGAGGAATTTTATCTTTGGAATTGACTAATAAATGTTTCAAATTAGAAGAGGTTTTGTAGGAAATGGAAAAAGAAAAATTTTTGAACAGTTTTGCTAATTGAATGGAATAATGACCAAAATAGTGTAATGATTTGTATAAGGGAGGATCAACAACTTGACTGGTAGTGACATTAAATGATAATCTATGTTTAGTGTAATATTTGAAATATAGCTTCATGATCAATTCAAGAGGAAAAAGATTATTTTGGGCAATCTGTTTAATGATATTAATCTCTTTATCAAAAGCTGCTTGTGAGAGAGGTAGAGAAAAAATTCTGTGGAAAAAGCAATTAAAGGACGCCATTTTTTGTGAATAAGGATGATTAGAATTAAAGGGAATAACTGTATCTGTTGCTGTCGGTTTCCTAAAAATTTCAAATTCGAACCTATGAGTGTGCTGATTTTTCAAGATAAGTAGGTCTAAAAATGGTAAAGAATCATCGACTTCTGATTCCATTGTAAATGTGATATTAGGGTGTAGGGTGTTGATGAAATTAAGAGAATTAAGAACATTACCAATGTCACCTTCAAAAAGTAATAAGCAATCATCGACATATCTACAGTGTCACCGTTAAAGTCCGCATCATATGGGATTTTTTTTTATTAGTCAGTTATTGCAAATTTAGAGTTCGTGAACAGTTTGTGCTTTGAAAATTATGCAAAATGACTTTTACGGTGTTTTCCTATTCATCGGCTACACCTGTCAAATATGACATTTTTTCAAAAAAATTACTAAATGTCAGGTAATTTCTCAATATTTCGAGAAATATTATATGAAAAAGTTGTTTATTTTTAGATTTCCTACCCACCTACCAAATTTGAACCAGTTTGAACAACTTTGATTTTTTTCTCGTTTTCTTGACCTTACAATTTTTCGGCTAATTTAAGTTTAGTCAAATCTGAAAAACTAGTTGAGATGTAATACACCCATCTGCTGAAAGAATTTTTTTCTGATTAAAATGTTTCTAATTGGATATTTTCAAATGAATATAAATATGCTGAAAGAATTATGTCTAATACTTGATGCAAAGTGGCTCTAGTTTCAACATAGCAAAATTCACTTTAATAATTTTTATCACATGAAGACATTTCAGATAAGTGCTATAACTCTAGAAATATCAAATCAATTTGCCGTTCAAATTCTTGCTAAATCAATTTCATACAATTATTCTCTCAACTTATACTCAAAAATTAATCATCAATCAAGGTGCTGTTGAAATGGGAAGTATGCTGTGGAAACAATAGAAGTGAATGTTATGGAAATTGATATAAAGTGTTTGACAGTTTCAAGGTTATGAAACAGTAATTTTTATCAAGTAGTAGATTCAAAATGCTGACTTTGCAGGAAAAAATAGAAATTGTACGCATTTGCGGTGAAAATACAAGTCATAGACAAGTTGCGAATATTTTCAATGGACGGCATCCTGAAAGAAATATTCACCAGTCTACTGTGAGCAGGATTATCTCAAAGTTCGAATCGACGGGTTCAGTACAAAATACTTTCAAAAGACCTCACAATCCAAGAGTTTATGATGAAGAAGCTCAATTAAGTGTATGCCTAGATGTGGTAGAGCATGGGCAAACTAGTATTACAGATATTTGTAATAGGACCGGTGCTAAAAGGGAGGCCGTGAGAAAAATATTACACAATAATAAGTTCAAGCCGTTCAAACCAAAATTTATAAACACGTTAAAAGAGCGAGATTTTGACGTACGGTTGGATTTCTCTTTTTGGTTCCAAGGACAACGAGAAGAAAATTCAAATTTTCCTTGTAAAACTTTATGGACAGACGAGGCGACTTTTACCTCGAATGGGGTAGTCAGTTCACAAAACTGTAGGTGGTGGTCAACAGAAAACCCAAAGTTTGTGATAGAATGCCGAGATCAATATTCTTTCAAGACAAATGTGTGGTGCGGTGTGTTAAATAACAGAGTCATTGGCCCATATTTCTTCCGGGAAAATTTGAATTCAGAGAGATACTT